CTTCTCTGGAAGTAATCGGCTGCAGTGCCCTTTAGTTTGCTTCCTAACACATCAACCTTGATTCCCTCTGGCCATTCAGAGCCAGAGAGAGTGACAGCCATGTTGGCATCTCTCATGACTTGCAAAGCCCAGAGCTCAAAGATCCTAAACCCTTAAAAGGCTCTTTTCCCTCAAAAGGAGGTACCAAGAGCATTCTTTGCTTCAATGTAGGAATCCTTGTGCCAAATTGTTGCTGTTGATGCTGTGGTGGGAATGCATGCATTCCCTGTGCCTCTTGTTGCTCTCGCTTGGAACTGCTGTTCTCTCTGTCTCGCGTCATCGCGAGCGATTTCATCGCAGGACCTACGGTGATCTCGTGCTCCCAGAGCTGAGACACGTGATACTGGTATGTGAGGTTGGGATTGACTCTTGATGCGTTCCAGCATGACACTCCTAAATGCTTCTGCAGAAGCACTACTAAGTACGGAAGGCTGCTGATGACGTTGTCCGTTATCAGACCTAATTGCTGCTACTTCTTCCTTCATCTGTAGCATCATCTCCTGTATTTCACGCAATACTGCTGCTGGAGTGAGCTCTTCCTTCTTGTCCGTCACATTGTGAATGGTGTTATCATTCTGTTGTGATGAACTCACAACTTGTTGAACTAAATCGATGGCCCGATACGCTACTTCTGGGCAAAATGCTGTAAATGACAGCTAGGAAGGAAGGACCTGGTGGTTTGAAGGTAAGTCTCCATATATTCTGCTTTTAGCTATGTAATTATGCAAATGGTTGGGAATTTCAGAACTCCTCCTGGTTTACTTGGGTGAAGACTTAACTTGTTTCCAACAGGGCGTTCTCTCCAGCAAATTTTCACAGCTGATGATCTCTCCCAGGCAAGCTATTACTGTTACTGGCCCCTGAATCACAATCTACGAGTCCGCGTTAATTTACGCACAGATGATGGATTGGTACAGAAGAACCTCTTTTGTAACAATTAGACTGACACATATATCTCGTTTATTACATATGTTTTTCTATATTCTATACTTAAACTCTCTGAACTGCATATCTTGAAGCTAATAGCCCATGTGTTCTCATTGCAGAGTCCCATCCTTCACGGCCACACTATTACAGATCATTTCATGTTACCATACTTTGGTGCTGCTTTACACAATAGTGAAAGCAATGTACGGTGTATGTTACACCTTGAAACGCCACATCTACATATTAGTAATGATTACAAATTTGGTGAATACACCATTGCGGAAATATAAGTAGCACAATAACTCAATATAATGATACTTTCTCAATTATTATTCTCTCAAAGCTAAAAAAGGCGGTTTCTCTCTAACAAATGCTATTTTCTCTTTAACATGGGCAACAGTGCCAGTAGCCCTGCGTCGGGTGGCACACCGCTCAGCAGCAGTGGTGTTGGTACACGCGGCAGCTTTCTAGGTGCTTTTGTATCAGGAAGACGATTGGAATTTACACTGAGCAATTTACGGTCGCTGCACGCACAACTTACGCGCTTGTCGACACTACCAGACTCCGAAATCGTAGAGTTGCTTCGCGTTTTATCAGAATTCCTCATCTACTCGGACCAACACCGTGTTTCCGTGGAAGCAGACACTCAAGCGGCTGTAGATGATTTTGCCGATGATGCTGGAGTATTTTTTGATTACTTTGGAGAGACTAACATGCTCGCGTTACTAGTGGATTTGGGTGCAAGTCAACCTTCTGTGCCGGTACAAGTTCAGCTACTGCAGACAATGAGTATTTTGGTGCAGAATATCACAACGCGCACATCTCTTTACTATATTCTTAGTAATAATCACGTTAATCGCTTGCTTGAATGTCCATTTGCAGTGGATAAAGACGACGACGTGCGTGATTGGTACGTGACGCTACTTAAAGCCTTATCACTACGACTTAATGAAGAAACAGTGCAATTTTTTCTGGATACGCAAGCTGTGGGTGAAAGTTTTCGGTTTCCACTTTACGCGCGAGCGCTCGAGTTCGGCCGATGCAATGAAACAATGGTTAAAGTCGCGGTTAAAACGTTGACGCTTAACGTACTTCGAGTATCAGACATTAGAGTACGCAGATTTGTACTGCAGTACGACGATCTGAGATACTTCCGAGATATTGTCGAGATGGCCAACGATTTGACGCTTAAGTTGCAGGGACTGCTCAATAGCTGGCCGTCTGCACAAAATGCGGCAGAACGAACGGCCACGATTGAAAGAATGGAAGAAGCGGTGGACGCATATCTTGACCACTGTTTTTATCTACAAGATCTTTTAGATGTAAATGTGCCTGAGCTGTGCTATAAGATTGGTGATTTGCTATTCTCTCGGCACATCAAATGGTTACTAGCAACGAGTATTTTACCAGATTGCGGGCCTCCGCCACAGCGAGTATCAACGCAGCTGGCGCTGTTTCTGCTTACTCGATTGTTTGGCATTTTGGAGCACACACCTTTAGTAAATGCGATTGCTTTCATGTTACTGTCATCGGATGCTACGGAATGTTGTGAATACTCAGCAATAGCGTTAGGAAGTGGATCACGAAGGCTGGATAGTGGTTCACAATGTTTTAGTTGTGTAAACAGCAAAGATCTCGAAGTCAAAAGCTCGACAACAACGGCGCCGCAGTCGCCACGACCTTCGCAACGATGGGACAGAGAAGCACCACCAATGCATGTGTTTCGTCCCCATTCCCCAGATACATGTGATTCGTCGTTGTGTTATGTACAGACACGTTTTGCCATGGGCGAGTGGCCAGTTGAAGAAGTAGAGACGTTTGTGCTTCAAGGCTCCAACTGTTACCGTCAGTCATTATTGTCATTGCTGAGTTCGCATGATGAACGCCTCTCATCGACAGTGGTGATGCTGCTATCAGCAATTGTCAACAACAAGGGTGTGGACCATTCCCTCCTTCGAGAGCTGAATCTGCTACCTTTCCGACATCGCAAGCTTTCTCAAGAAAAGAAGGGTTGTAATTTACCAGATATCTCTCCTCTTTCCGATTCTCCATCATCTTCGTGTGGTTCGTTGGACTCGCATGAAATTGTAAAAGATAAAGAAGAAGTTTCTGATGATGGAGTAATAGTTGAGAATGAAAGAAATGACGTTGACCGCCCAGAGGCATACCCTTCTTGGCTTGTGGAACTTGTCTTGGAGCTGTTATCGCGACATCAAAGCATGCGTTTAATAAGTGTGCAGTTGTGTGTCCGTCTCCTGGTTGATCTCACGTCAGATACACGTCCATCGTTGTCGACCCAATCTCTTTTTTACTCCCACACTATGAAAATTCAAAATATTCTCTCGAGCAGCGCACATCTCGTCATGGAGAGTATGCGTGGCGCAATGGCGGAAGTGGACTTGTTTATTTACGTACTGGAAACAGAACTAGCAGGCTTTCAGCTTAAACCTTTTCCAAAAAAGATACAGTTCGATTCTTCGTCTCCGTATCAGTGTCTTGTTCCACTTGAGAAAGATGATTGTTTACAGACTCCAGCATGGGCAACTTTGGAGGACTCGCTTGAATTAAGACATCCATCAAACGAAATGGAAGTTTGTTGCATAGCTATGCGCGTATTTCTCACCTTAAGAAAGCTGCGCGAGCTTGTGGATAGAAGTTATGTGGACGACGATTTGGAGCAGCTTGTTGCTTATCGCCATCCTCGTACGAGTGTGTTAGCAAGTGCTGCGTGTGGTATTGGTTCTTGCACTGTGCCATTAGACGGCATGGTCGCTTTGAAGTGCATGTTTCGTGACCAGCGCTTTCTACTGATGCCTACAAAACTGCTTATGGTGATGAATCCAGAGGCATTTGCACTTGTTGAGAAAGTTCCGGAGCAAAATGATGATAGCAGTCCAAGAGAATTCAAAGGGGAAGGTATTGTAAAAGTATTTGCTCCGATTCACCGTACATACTGTACGGTGGATGCACGAGACGACCGGGTGTTGCACGTGTCCGTGCGCTCCGTCACTCCGGTGCCTGGCTGTCGCGGTGGTAGGAAAGATCGTCGGAGAACGCGAACAATGGCTAAGCTAAACGATTGGTCTGTATCAGTGCTGTTTTCGAGCGCAGAAGATTGTGCTCAAGCACAGACTCACATAAATATCAGTGGTACCGAAGTGCGCGCGTTTAAGCTGCATCAAATTGAGGAGAGTTTGACTGCCCATTTGCAAGTTACTCAACCAAGCAATGATAACTGGTGCGGGTCATTCTTCGTCAATACGGATACGTACGGCTTCAAAAATGATGCAGATTCCAGTGAAGGCGATGGGAAGGAAGAAGTCATGAATGCACGGCTGGATGAATGAGCTCGAAGAGAAGAGCTGTTCTCAAATTAAATGCAAAGTCAATATGAATTACAAGTAAAATTCAGATTTTGAATCCAAGTGCCTACGTCGACTAGTGATACAAGAAAGCAAAAACATTTAAGCTGGCTTGTGCCCCCTACCTTCTCCAATGATGTCTGATCTAATGCGCAGGAAACTGGCACGGATTTCGACGGCGTTTGCATCCAAAATTTCAGCGGGAAAAAGTTTGGAAGCATCAGCCGCAAGACTGAGTAGCTCCTTGGTATTCTGTAAGACAATGCAAAAGCTGATACAATTTCAAGGCTGGTTTTTGGCTGAAAATCGTACCTTAAAACACTGAGCTACGCTGGTCACAAGTTCTCGTACATTGGCTGGTTCATCCTCGTTGTACAAATTTCTGACGGCTGCTTGGAGTTTGTCAAGTGCAGCAGCACGCTCTTGCGCGAACCGTTGCTGTAAATTGATAAGATCTGTTTGAATTTGTTTGCCGTCCACACTGCCCACGTCTTTTGGAAAAAGTCTCGACGCGTGTTTGACAAGAAATTTGATGTCGGACAGCTGAGGTATGTGGTCGTAGATGTGACGGACCATTTGTTCTGCAGTTGATAAATTGATTTGATTACCGTACAAGTTTCGAATTATGAGCTCTAAGTCTGCCGCGCGTTTTTTACGCTCAATAGCAGTTTGTAAAACATCGAACTCATTACGTATGTGTGCGGCATCTAGATTTTCAAAGATCTCGATTGAGAAATCGCGTGGAAAAAGACGCTCGGCGTTGCGAAGCAATGAACGAATCTCAACAGCTTTTGGAAATTGTTTAAGCACACGCCGTAACGCGGTCTGAAGTACTGCACTTGCTGCTGCACTGTCTTCGAGACGCTGGAGGCGGTATGCACTATCGCGTAGAGCGTTATATAACTCGCGTTTGAGCTGCTCGCGTTCATCCTTGCGTCTTAGCTTTTGCAAGATTTGCTGACATGGAGTCAGCATGGTTGACGTAGACTTACAATTTGTCTGTTGGGCGTTGGTATCGCTAGTAAGGGAGATGAAGATACTGTTGGCTTCATTTTTTTTCAATAGAAGGCCCTTCACCTCCCAACGACTCTGCAAAGGTGTGTTATCAATGGTAATGAAATGAAGATTTTGCAGTCGGCTAAGTTCGGGTGGGAGGGCAACAAGTCCTGTAGAGCTGGCATCGAGAACTTGTAAAGCATTGCAATGGACGAGCGAGCTTGGTAGATGTGTCAGTCTTGGATTGTTATTTACGTACAGCTCACGTAGAGTAGCGAGCGATCCAATTGTGTCTGGAATTGCGTGGGGACCCTCCAGGTGATTGAAGCTTAGATCGACTCGAATTAGTGGGGCAGTTAATCCACTGGATAGGAAAGCTCCTGACGTGGTTTTTGAAAAAAGATCTGGTGGTACTGTTGTGAGCTGGTACTGAATCAGGTGAAGCATGCCATGCTTTTTCGCCTCTTGTATTTGTAAAGATATGTCACGTTGACTCATCATACACCAAGGAAGTGTCTGAAAACTTTGTAGAAAACAAGAATCAAAGCGACGCTTTGGAATAGATGATTTTAAAACGGATTTGCAATTGATTTTCTTAGAATATAGTATTGATAAGTCTTCAAATGGCAGGATTCCGATGAATGTAGGGTAAATTGCTTGGAAGAGTCTTGATCTGCATACGTGCTCCATCTGCTTCATCAATTGTCACGATACGTGGTACACAAGTGCTGTCTGATTCAGATGAAGCAGATACTTCAAGCTTTGCCTCGACCCGCTTTGTTATAGCAGCGATAGACCGTACTGAGTGTACCGAGCGCATCGACTTGCACTCATCTAATATGCTATTCGCTACGCTTTTCGTATCATCGTCGCTATCTTTAAAATCAGCTCGGTCCCCAAGTCGAGACACGTCATTTTCAATCATGGCGCCACCATTGTTGGCATTATCCTCAAGCCGCTGTTGATCTCGTTCAATACGCTTTTCTTCCGCCTCTTCATGATCGACAATTGACTGCACTTGAGCTAATTGTTGCTCAACTTGAGCAACGCGTGCTTTCGTCTCCACGTCATCCATAAATTGATCAATATCAAGATTATTGGCGAAATCTATCAGATCATTTGTTTCAGCATCCTCTAACATATCAAGCTTCTCGTCAGCTGTAGCTTTTGTAAGAGCCCACATAGGGCGATTTAAATCTCTTTTCTTCTCCTCGGCAGGTCCAGTGCCTGATATATCGTCACTTTCATTATTGTCATTGCGTGCTGTCTCACGCAGCTTTGCTTCTCTCCGCAAAAACCTCTCTCGACGCTTTTGTAATGCTTCTTCCTCTTCAGTCAATGTTTCCTGAAGTCGAGCACGCTCTTTTTGCAAATCGTAGAGCCACTTTCGATGCTTCGACAAGGCTGTATCCTTCTTATCTCGACGGATAGCATGCTAGAACAATGACGCACATAAATCACAATCCTTAGCCGCAAGTATGAGCTACTAACAATAAAAGCTTACCGCAGGTTCACTAAGTATCGGTACATTTAGTCCAAGCGGCTCGCCTGGATTACCCGCCAAAAAGGCTGCCTTACTATTGTCGATCATATCATTATTTGACTTTGTTCCTTGCCGACATTCTTTCGTTACTGCTCAAATCATACCATGAGACCAACAGTCCAATATCAACATGCGGGAAAACATTTTGCCTTTTACCGCTAGAAACTCCATGAAATGGCCGATTGCAAAGCATAACGCCCTTGTAGTTGTCAATGCTAATTGCTGCTGAAGATGTCCCCGTCATGTCGACCATGTTGCTTGGTCACGACAAGAAGGATGCTATTTTCGCAGTAAGAATTTCTAAGCTTTTTATATCAAGAAATAAAATTGTGTTTTGCGCCGGCTTACTGACAGTCTAGTGAGCCTTGGTAATTATAAAATGACATGATGGATTGATTGATTCTTGCTTCTATGAGGTCCGCCGACTGCGAGTTTTGGCCTTCAGAATACGCCGACCCTTTGCGTGCTGAGGAGCGGCACCCATATTGAATCCACCGTCAGTAGGAGGAGCACTGAAGGCACCTGCAGTAGGAGCAGACGTAGCACCAAAAGCAGGAGCAGAGGTAGCACCAAAAGCGGAACCAGAGGTAGCACCAAAAGCAGGAGCAGAGGTAGCACCAAAAGCAGGAGTAGAGGTAGCACCAAAAGCAGGAGTAGAGGTAGCACCGAAAGCAGGAGCGGTGGCACCGAAGGCTGGAGCAGCACCAAAAGTCGAAGCCCCAGAAGCATTGCCAAATGCAGAAGTCGGGCTAGGCGTACGGTACCCGGAGCTGGAAGGACCACTTCCAAACCCGCTTACTGCTGGTCCACCAAACGACGGACCACCAAACGTTCCAGTTGGAGGCGGAAGGCTGTTACCAAACGCCGATTTTGTAGGAGGCTGGCTACCGAATGCCGGGGCAGGACTGGAAGATCCAAAGTTACTTGGTGTAGAGTGGAACCCGCCATTTCCACCCTTTGGTGGAAATCCAAACCCACCAGAAGCTCCGGCTGTTGTTCCAAATCCAGTGGGGGCACTGGATGTGCCAAATGAAAACGCAGGCTGGCCGGCTGCAGGCGCACTCGGAGCCGGGGTCTGAATAGATGTACCGAAAGAAAAGGCTGGTGCAGCGGGTGTATTTGGCGCAACCGCAATCGTAGGCCCAGTGGCAGACGAGCTATTTAAGTCTCCGCTGCTTTGCCCCGATCCAAAACCAGATGAGGAGCCCGATCCGAAAGCGTTAGACGTTGAGCCAAAACCCGATGCAGGTATCTGGCCGAAGGGAGTCGACCCGGTTGAACCGAAGTTAGATGGTGCTGCAGGTTGATACGATGACGAACCAAAACCAGAAGGTGCCGTCGACTGAGCTGGACCCAACGAGCCAAAGCCAGAAATTGCAGAAGACTGACCTGATGATGACGAGCCGAACGTAAAGGCAGGCGCCTTCGAAACCGTGACAGCAGTGGACGCTGGCGTCGATGTACCAAAATTAAAAGACGGACTTGAAGATGAAGGTGGAGCAACGCTAAATGTAGGGGCACTGCTAGAAACAGAAGTTGTCGAGACTTGGCTGGTAACGCCAGTAGAAGCATTAATACCAGAAGTGACATCCTCTGATCTAGCCAAAGGGGCACCAAAATTTGAATCAGGAGCTTTCGACTTCGGCTGCCCAAATTCAAAACTTAGATTCGGGGCCGTGGTCGATGATATCGATCCAAACGTAAAGCCGGACTTCGGCGGTGACGTGTTTACCGGCTTACTGTCCTTTGTCTTTTCAATGGAGCTGGCTGCACCGAAGTTAAATGAGGAAGAGGCTACTTCTTTTGGTTTTTCGGCGTCTGTGATGCTGCTCGTCATATTAAATGTAATCGGTGGTGTAGCTTCCTTGGCTGGCGCTTGAGGTGGCTTTGATGTAGAACCAAAAGAGAAAGCCGAAACAGATGTCGCAGATGTCGAGTCAGAGGCAACAGAAATCGGGGCGAAGCGCTTAATTGGACGTTCCGAATCCTTTGAGGTTGCTTGTGTCGAAATTAAGGCATTTTCTGATCTATGTGCGGACACGTCTTTCGGCTTGGCGACATCACTTGTCATAATCGACGAGTCGACATTTTGAATCGGCTCTTCAACCGCAGAAGCTTTACGCTTGCCTTTCTTAGTCTCTGCTTCGCTAGTACTTGAAGCGGCATTCGCAGTACAATCAATTGAATGATGATCCATAGCTGGCAAAGAAGGAGTTCCAAAAGAAAAAGACGCAGCGTTGGTTGCCGTCTTGGCAATAATCGGGATGCCTGGTAGCGCCTTATCGGCCTCCTTGGCAGGCGCCGAAAACTTAAATAAAGTTGGACTTTCGATAGTCGACTCAGACGCGCCGTGCGCTACAAGACCACTTTCAATACCACCCGATTTTCCTGAGCCATGCGCTGGAGTTGGAGCCGTAAAGCTGAATTCGTTCGAAGTTACGCCGGCAGATTTATCAATTTCGGTCTTTGCACCAGCCGGTGGAAAACCAAAGCAAAATCCACTGGACGTTATAGATCCGCCTGAATTGTTTGTTTCCTTTTTTGAATCAGCAGAGGATGCACCGAAGCTGAAGCCACCTGCCGTAATCAGGCCATCACTCGGCTTAGCCGTATCCGTTTTAGAGTCCGCCGCAGGCCCACCAAACGTAATATCACTTGACAACGTCGACTTAGCAGGCCCACCAAAAGTGAGCCCACTCGATGACGTCGACTTAGCAGGCCCACCAAAAGTGAGCCCACTCGATAGCGTCGACTTCGCAGGCCCACCAAAAGTGAACCCACTCGATAACGTCGACTTAGATACATTAGGCGTTGTCAAAGAAGCGACCTTAAGTGCCTTATCACCGTTCGGGTTAGTTGTTTCACAGCACGGGCACTTTGCACTCGAAGCTTCATTCAAGACACAGCATCCCGGACACTTCCATTGTCCTGGCTTCAACTGCATAAACTTCGCAAGAGGGTTCACAGCACCACTTGCAGCTGGCGTCGGGGCGATCAAAGTGGTACTCTCACTCGCTTTGGCTACATCGATAGGCTTGATTACAGCAGCCTTCGGCATCTCGTGTTCGTTCGTCCTCGATGCCTCCGATACTCTCTCCATTATCGTTACTTTGGGCGACGAGGACACAAGATTGAAAGGAGCAGCACCACCACAAGCCTTTGTCACAGACTTGTAACAGGTGATTTTTGCAGGCGGCTCACACAGACTCGGTGGTGGGGAAAATGTAAATTGTACGCGAGAGTCCTCATCATCCAAATCATTCTGCATTGACCCTTCATCACAAAGGGGATGTGTAAATTCAAAATTGCCAATTCTCTCCGTAGTTGGCTGTTTTGAAACACGTGACTTGCATTTGACAGGAAGTGCTGGGGTCATTGAGACTGTTTGCGGAGAAAATTGCGGTGTTATACTATCTACTGGCTTCGCAATGCTCTTAACAGGCGTTTCCATAACAGTAAATTTCTGACCTGACTGAGAAAACGTGACGCGAGGCAGTGTACTTATAGGTGGTGCGATCTCGTTATTTACGCTCTGTAAACCATTATCCAACGACTTTGTGTCATTAGAATCCAACGCAAGGTGGTACTTTGCCCATGACAAAGACGTCGAAGGTGTGGGCTTCTGGGCTTCCTGCTCTAATGGATTCTGGACCTTGTTGAGCGTCGACAAAACTTTTTCGGCAATTGCCGCCGAATAGGCATTGCGTGCAGCACTATCGCGCTTCGCGCCGGTCAATAATCGTGACGGACGTGGCTTGCGCATTAAACGCTCTTCACGCGTCAGTTGGCCACGCAAAGTCGAACCAGAAAAGACAATAGGACGAGTAACATGATTACGACGGCGTTCACCAAAAGGAAGACCCTTCTCTGATGTAATATCCGTGTTTTTCTTCCTCTCATCGTGGACAATCATCGCACCGTGGTTAGAGCGTGCAATTGAGCCAGGAACGTACCCAGGAAACGAGGTCGGTCCAGGAAATCCACGCGTAAACGGATGCTCGAGTCCATTGACCAGGGCTGCTTGCGTCTTAGCAAGTTGCGTCTGTGGTGTTGTCTCGACCATATCGTGCAGCTGTTTCTGCAAAACTTCAAATTCCTCTAGAGTGATGGTCTTTTTTTGTTTGATCACAGCCAGCGCGGACTCATGGGGTGAAGGTGACGTCGACTTTCGTCGGTGTTGTGAGTTCGTTATGCGTAACGATTTAGACTGATGCGAAGGACCAGGTAGAAACACGCGCTTGTCACCGCGCTTTCGTGCTTGACGTATAAAGGCCGGACTACACTCACCACTTTCTACGCTACTGTCTCGAGAAGGTGAGCGAGACTTACGAGATCCACGCTTACTGTATGGTCGAGGAGGTGTAGCTGAATAATTCTTCGGTGTGACAAATGAAGGAGCTGTGCGTGTCACGGGAGAAATGGACTCCCGCACCTCTTCCTTCCTAAGAATTGAACCCTTCTGTTTTTGTTGTTGAGATTCGGGTGTTAGTTCTCTCTTTTCGTCATCGTTTTTCGGAGCCTCTGCTACTATCTCAGCATTACCGTCGCCATCCTCATCCTCATCATCACTTCCATCTTCCTGTGTCGTTTGGATGTCGACACTATCGTCCATAGTTGGCTGCAGCTCACTTTCCTTCTCGTCATCTTCCTCAGCCACCAATTTGTTCACGATAGGAATGTAACTTGCCAAACGAGCCAAGAAGCCACTTCCACGCCGATTATTGGTGGTATACGTTTCCTGACCACCAAACTCGACATTTTTCTCGTCTTCATTTCCCTTCGCATGCTTGGTATACGGCGCCGCAGCTTCACGGCGGCGATGACGCGCTTTAAGACGGTGCACTCCACTGTCCAGTGGTGCGCTTAGCGATGCATTCTTTGTCAGCATCTCAACAGGCGGTTGGTAAACGAGCTAATATAAGTTGAGGGGGAACTACGCGGTTTGTTTCTTCGGTTAATTTTGCTTTAGAACGGCCAATATTAGAGATAAAATAGGTTTTTTTCGGTTTTGCTAAGGTTTTATTGTGCTCACACCTTTTCCCGCCAAACTTCGATCTATTGTAGTAATTGCTCTTTGGACTTTTTGGCCTTAAAACTCATCTATCGTTTGTGCTGTTGCTAGCACGTTTGTCGAAGACTAGTGAGGGAAGCTGCTTTTTTATGATTAGACGATCATAGTTCTTTAATCTTTAATCGTACACTTAGCAGTACCGTAGCAACATGAAGGTGATTTTCATTACTAGATATTTTTAAAACAAGATTCTGGAAGATTTGTCGTCCATGGAGTGATACATATTAAATTGAGCAAATGTAAGAATGTGAAAGCGTCCCAGCTTCAAACCATCGTACCAACTATCGATTTTCACTTCTCGTTAATCTTATACATCACATCCATCCTCCATAAATATAATGTCAAATGAAGGACTTACTAAGTCAAATGTAGCCAAAAACGTTGTCTTAACGCATTGGCAGTCTGAATTACTCTGTCCGAGGTATTCAGATCACCGGTCACATGCTACAATATCGCATTGGATGCATCCCTTATACACTTAAGTTATAAAAGTATGGTCATTACAGCCACAATAGACGCCAACCATAGCGTAAGACTATAAAAGACGTGCAACCTTTTGTCTAACAATTGAAATAATACGGTCGAGAATGAAGGTAAACGTCTGGTGGTAAATTTCGCGCACTTTGCCTCATGGGCCTCTGACAAAACAGTAATTTGAGTTAGAATAAAGTCTTTCGATGAAGCGAAGTTCAACAACATTTGTAACGACCCAATTTGTGACAGCCTGATTTGCCACTTCATAATCGTATTAATTCGAGATCAATATTTGCTGACATGAATAATCCTGAAGCAACATGCAGTTGACCGTGCCCTACATATACACATGTACTAAGCATATAGCGATTTTAAGACATAAATCTGAATGTGGAATGTAAGACGCTTAGCATCTTGACATCGCCTGCCGATTAGCTTGTAGCCAGACTGACCCTTTAACACGATGCGAGTAGCGTTGGCGAATCGAAAACAGTTAAACAAATTTGCGGAAAAGCTACATGTAACTGACGTGAAAAGAGCAATTAGCTGATTACAAAAGTAAAAATCCATTTGTGCGAGTTTCCGTTTTAGTGCTTGAGAAGCTATCCACCTAGAGTATAGATTCTTTATGGAATGAGTTGCAGACTCGGTTGGGCGTGTAAAATGTACAAAATAATGATTTCACTTGACATGCTCGTTCATGATCTTGCTAACACAACTACCTTATTAAAAAAAGACGAAGTGAGTATATTGAGGTCCTTAGTTCACTATTCCGAGTTACCTCTAAGCCTTTCCTATGGCGTTAATCTGAGCGCAATCATGACGCGTCATCGTGAGCGCAATCATGTCGTCCTATGGTAATTCGATCGCGCAACGTATGCTGTAAGCCGTTCTTCTTACACTCCTCCCCGCGATCGTGTCTCCGCCGCCATAATTAGCGCAACCCCACGAGCGCTCGCAGCTCTGCAAGTTTGTGCTGGTCTAACGCCTTTGTCAGTAAGTCCGCGAGCATAAGCTCGGACCGGACGTAGCGCATTTCAACGACGCCGCGACGAGCAAAGTCCTTAACAAACTTGAGGCGCACGTCGAAGTGTTTAGCTTTTAAAGACGAAGTCTCTCCTTCTATCCGGCGAATCGTGGCCTGGTTATCCACATGCATCGACATAGGCTGAGTCGGTGCAAGTCCTACCTCTTCAAGCATCTCTTGAATACCAAGAAGCTCGCGTGCCGTCTCAGATGCCGCGGCGAGTTCGGCCTCCATAGTCGAGAGAGAGACGCCACCTTGTTTCTTGGCTGCCCAGCTTACAGGCATCCCATTTAGCAAAACGATGGCACCAGTGAGCGATTTTCTGTCTCCCTTGTCGGCAGCAATGTCGGCATCACGGTAAGACTCGAGCGATATTTGTTCGTTGCGGCCGGTATTTGTGCGCAATTTAAGCCGCATCACCTTGCTGCCACTAAGATAGCGCGCTATCCTCTTTGCGAGTTTCCAGCCTTGTACGCGCGGTGCATATGTCTGGCGCGTGGCTTTGTGAACCGCAAACGCATTGTCTGGACGCGTGCATCGTGCAATCCTTAGCAAACTGCCGACCAGCGACTGAAACGAACGAATACTTGGTGACCCGGATTTTGGGTTTTCT